CAGAGTGCTGTCCCTCCCCGACCCAGGCTCACTGCACCCCTAACTTTCACATTCCCTCCTCACTCAGTTGGGCTCATCTCTTCAGATGAAGACCAGAAGAGGGCTGCCTCCCCACTGCCCTCGCCCTCTGACCCCACAGACAGGAGGGAGGGGGAGAAGCCCTGTAAAAGTATGCCACCCCCTCCCGCCACCTCCCCACCACAGGACTCACACGCCCAGAGGGGGCTTACTTGGCAAGGGGGGCTGGACATGTTTCCTTGATGGGAACCCACTTGGGAGGTCTGAGCTGTTCAGAAGTTCCATGAGCTGAAGGAGCGACCTCGGGCCCCTGCACCTACATGGGACCCAGAGTAGGGCAGGGGCACGCTGTTGCTGAGCACGGAAGACGGGCTGGGCAGGAAGCAGCCCCTTCTCCCGGGATTGCTGCTCAGACCTCCACGGTTTGTCAAGCAGATTGGGAGCTGGGGTCTGGGGTAGGAACTTGGAGCTTCTAAGGAGAACTTTGGTGCAGCCCAGGGCCCGGTGGAAACTTCTGGAGGCTCGGGCAGGCTCCGGGACCACCAGACTGGAGTACTTCTATCTAGGGGGGTGGGGAGCCTGAGGATGTGCTGATAGGCAATCAGACCCCCAGAAAGGGAGCCTCCAGGACCCGGACCCTGCTGCTGAGAAGCCCAGTAAGGCGTTTGCTGCTCCGAGTCCCCCAGGATGGTGTGTCCCCTGGTCACGTGAATGTGTTTCCCACACGCTCACGTGCTCTGGCAAGTCACATAAGCACGTCTGTGGGAGGCCTGGAAACCGCAGCATGTGTGCACACACTCACACATGGTGCATATCCACATGTGTGCACCTGAACGCACACACACTTGGCTCACATCTATGCGCAGATGCTGATGCACACACGGTGTGTGGGCCCACATACATGCCTCAGCCGTGGACACGTCTTGCATGCACACACACCCACGCCTGAATGCACGCACAAGCTCACACATGCCCATACCCACAGACGTACTTGCCTGAGCACAAACCTGTGTGTGTGCGTACGTGCACACGCATGCATGCATGAGGGCACAGCTGGAAGTCACTGGGACAGCATCCCAGTAGGAATGGTGATGTGTGCACAGCTGTGAGAAGGTCCCCCATCCTGTTGTGTCCTCTGCCCAGGAGCGGCTGTCCCACCCAAGTGATGGCTCAGTTCCTGTGGGTCCCACTGTGAGGTCACCAGGTTCCCTGCTCAGTCTGCACCCCCACACACACACACTCTGCCTTCATCAGGGGACCCATGCAGCTGCCCACCTACCTCTCAGGTCACACTGAGAAAGGTACCCTGCCTGGGGATGGGGGGGTGCGGGAGGGGGCACTGAGTGTTTTCTCCAGGTGCCCTGAGGTCCATGGCTGGCAGAGAAGCGGCCACTCTTGCGCCCTCAGTGCCCTGGCATAAGCAGCCAGCCCCATCCGCATCGCTGTCTGGAAAGTGTGTGCGCCCCGCCCCAATCTGTGTCCACAGTGCAGAGCAGGCCTCAGGAGACCATGTCAAAGGCGGGCCTGAGGCTCAGGGAGCCCATGTGACCCTCCCAGGCCGTCATCCCCAGGGGTCAGTGCTCCACTGGAGGCTCACGAGGGAAAGGCTACTTTGTATGCTGCTGGCCAGCTCAGTCACACACACACATGCACGTGTGTGTCCCTTCCCGGTGACCCTCAGGCACAGGGAGAGGCTGGCCGGGGTGTAAGTTCACAGCCAGGGGCAGAACTTAAGGACAGTGGGGGCCGACCTCCGAATAAGATGCAGGCCCCAGAGACTGTCTCTCCTTCTCACTCACCCATGGTGGGCCTCTGCTGTGGGAAGCCCACCCCAGGAGGTGGCCAGCGTCCCCAGGCTAATCCTGGCTGGCAGGCAAAAAGCAGTGCTTGACAATTGGCAGCTGGGTGCCCCATGGCCCCCTCACAGCACATGGACACTCGCTCCCAATATAATATCAACTAACACTGAAGGCTGGCACAGAAGGACTTCCTGGGCCTGGTCCCTCAGAGAGCCCACCGGGGGTGTTTCTGTAAGGGGGGGGGGGCAGTTCTAGACAGCGTGCATGCTCGGAGCCCCCAGAGAGCTGGGCCCTGTTGCTAGAAGAATTTAATTATCATTGATTTCTGTTGCTTGCTCCCAACGGTGAGTTTCGGCTTTCGTAACCATAATTGCTATCAACACGTGCGTTGCTAATCCTGCCTGCAGCTGGCTGAGGCGGGCCGGGAGGAGGGGCTGGGGCCAGGGTTCTCCTGTTGGCATCACGGGTGGGTTCCATGCTTACTAGGGAAATTGGGAGGGTTCTCTGATGGAAGAGGACAGGAAGCCCAAGGGGGGCCGTGGGGAGCCTTGAACCAGAAACCCAGGCCTTTGGACCCTCTTCCTTTTGAGCCCTTGCGTGCGTGGCGATCAGTTCAGATTATTCAGGTGTGTTTCAAAGCCCTGAGGAGGGAGAAGGAAGGGTGTCAGAGGTGACGGAAAGGTCGGGCCCCACAGGCGGGCTGTGCTCGGCTGGGGGTTACCTCTGAATCAGAGAGCTCAGGGCGAAGCTGGGGGGCAGTGGGCCCCACGATGCTCTTGCTTGTAAAGACCCCAGTGGGAAATGGGGGTGGGACGGGGGTTGAAGAATGGAAATTGTTGAATTGGGAACG